CATATTATAAAGAAAGGAAAAAGGCGGACGTATCAACCGAAAATTATACGAGATGCACGTAATTAAGTAAATACATAAGTACTTCTTCCGATTATTTTTAAGAATACTAATTTGATTTTGTGATTTTTAAATATAAATTTTAAATAAAAATTTAATATATTATAAAAATAATAATTAAAATTTTTTAAATAAATAAAAATATTTAAAAACTTCACATAAAATAATTCTTTTAATTATTATTTATATAAATTATTAAATTTTTATTTAAATAATTAAAAAATTAAATTAATCCTATTAAAAATGAATTGAGAAAGTATCTTTTTGGTTTTAGATTTCCTTTAGAATGTCCAATGTTTGTTTGCTGTATATATATTACCCTACTATTTTGATAATTTCATCTATTTTATTTTATCTGGCTTTCAAAGAAATTGAAAATTAGCAAGATGAAAAGCATATAAAAAAATTTAACAAGCTGAGAAATAAGATATGATTATATATCTCAGAATCCATTAAGATTAATGGGGATCAATGAAAATCTTTTTTTTTTTTTTTTTGTCTTTTAGTACTAGCCGTTACTAAGTAGATCATATATATATGATTAAGATTTACAAAGAAATTATAATAATCATGTTTGTGTTAAACCAAAAAAACTGAAAAAATAAAAAGATAAAAACAGAGGTTAGTCAGGACTCAGGAGCATACCTTTCCCTTTAGCTTGTTGCGTGAAAAAAGCAGAGTGAGAGCCTTTTGGGTGTTTGGGGGAGAGTCGCAGAGATTGCAGAATTTTAACCACGCGAGGTGTGACTTTGGTCAAGGAACGGGGAGTGTATATAAATAGATAGAAAGAAGAGACTAAGAAAAGCAGAGCTCGTGAATCCAGCTGTATTCAACACTGCTGTCGCTCATATCACTGTTGACAAAGGATAAAGGTGAAAAGCGTATTCTCTGTTTTTTTTTTTATAAAGATAATAATTAAAGATTAATATATTAAAAATATTAATAAAAAATATTAAATTTAAAATTTAAAAATAACAATTATAAATTATCTTTTAAATAATAAGTGGTTACTGAATCACGGTACCGTGAAATATCCGTATTATCCGTTGTTAGCACCAGTTATCGAGGAGTCAACATAAGCTTCTGTCCTCTGTCGTCAATTTCTAGCAATTTGGTAGCAATTTGAGTCAATCTGATGTCTGTGTGAATGTGAAATCAACAAATCAAAGTGGTTGGAGAAAGAAAAGGAAAGAAAAGGGTAGTCTTCCAACTTATCATGAATGGAATAAGCCTTATTTTGCCGAAAAAAATAAAAGTGGCTGATCATTTGTACGAGTCTCTAATTTATCCAGTTATCATTTATTAGCCTGTTGTTTTGAAATTTCCGTATTATATGATTTATATCTGTCTATAATAAAATTAAAAAATAACGTGATAAAAAACTAAATAAAATCTAAATTTTTGTTGTCCCTAATGAAATTTAGAAATAACTAAAAAATAGTAACAAGAAAGAACAATAAATTACTGTATCTATGAAATTAAACTACACAGATTTAATTTAAAAAATAAGATAACTCATGAAAAAATAATAACAAGATAATAAATAAAATTTGAAATTTTTTTTTCTTCTCTGATGAAATTAAGAAATAACTACATAGGAAATAACAAGAAATATTTGTATTCACCCAAATTAAACTAAGCAGATTTGATTCAGAACTCAAAGGAAGCAGCGACAATATTTGAAAAGATGAAAAAAGAAGAAAAGGCAGACATGTATATGTAAACTAAAATCAGCATCACTTATGTGAACATAAAATAAGTACCTTCCAATGCTAAAAGCAGGGGAGATGCCTTAGAGGTTCAAAAAAGATAAAAAAGAAGAGTGGTGAGTTTGGATGGTGCTTTGATCTTTGATCTTACTTTGATTTTAGTTGAGTGAACGCTCCTTTTCGATTGATTCCACCTCACCCGGTTTCAGCCCCAGAAACAAGGCAAAAGGGCAGTAATTGTTAGTGGTTGTTAAAATCATATCATAATGAAAAGAAAAGCCGAATGTGAAAACCAAACAAAATGAGATGCATGTTAAGGGAATATATAATTAGTACCTTTCTGGCTTTGGATTTCCTTTATATTGTATGCATCAATGAAGATGTGGCATTTGATATTTTTTCCTTGTTCTGGTTCATCCAAATCCAACTTCTCTCTTTCAAATCGTCATCCTTTGTCTATTTTTCTCACCTCCTCTGCAAAGACTAACTATAGATTTAGGGTTTTAATTTGATTAAAGGCATACTATTTATGTAAGAATTGAAAAATTAATGAGAAATTATTTTTTATTAGTTTTTTAAAAAATATTTAATCTATTTAATAACGTCTTTGTGAGTTAATGGTTATTATTTCGTTGTAAGTTTTTTAAAAAATATTTAATCTATTTAATAACGTCTTTGTGAGTTAATGGTTATTATTTCGTTGTAAGTTTTTTAAAAAATATTTAAAAATAATTTTTATATAATTTTTTATATAATTATTTAATAATTAATTATTTATTTATTTAATAATATATAAAAATTATATAAAAATATTTTATAAAAAATTATACAAAATGCTATTTTCATATTCTTACTTAGATCTTCCTAAAAAATTGCATAATTGTATGTGGGACACTGGGACTGTCTGCCTTGCCGCTGACGCAGGCATTAGTTTGGTTTTGAGTAAGATTTTTGATTAGTTAAGAGGTAAGGCTGATACAAATACTGTGCATAATGCGTTCGCGTTAAATTATTTTTAAGAGGTACTTGTCGTTGACGTCATGGGTGAACAGTCAAGTAAAAGATGTTTAATTTACTTATAAGATACCGTTTAAAAATATAATAAATATATTTTTTATAATTAATTTATATTAAAAATTATAAAAATTAATATATTTTTTAATATTATTGATATATAAGTAATTTTAATTAATTAATTAAATTAAAATTAATATATATTTTTAATAAAAATTAATTATAAAAAAATATATTTATTATATTTTTATTCTGTGTCTCTAGACACATAATTAAAAAATCCTTAAAAGAAATATAAAACAAATGACAATCCGTTTTAGGGGAGCGATGATGACAATTAATAAAAATGCATTAATATTAAAATTATAAGATATTATTTTTAAAAATTATTAATTATGTAATTTAATTAGTAAAAATAATTTTTAATTTGTAATTAATAAAAAAATTAATATTTATTAATTTATAAATTAAAATTAATTAATAAATTAATTTTTTTTTTAAATATTAATAACTTTATCATATTTGATGGTGTCTACAACCAATTCCACTAATGTGAATTTACTTTCTTACCAGCCAAGTGTCCAAGTCATAATTGTATGTGGGACCGTCTGCCTTAATTTTTTTTAAACAGATTATAACTTTACACGTGGGAAAATTCAAAATACAGCGTTTGAATTGGGAATTCACCTACAACATTAGGTATAGTTATTGATATAATAAGGGCACCTGTCCACCTTATTCGTGTATAGGAAGGACATGCACTAATGCCTAGAAGGATATGTTTGGTTTTGCCCAAATTGTAAAATATTATTTTTAAAAATTATTAATTATTAAATTTTATTATTAAAAATAATTATTAATTTTTTTTGAATAAATTTATAAAGGAGTCGAATTCGAACCATTATATTGGGATAAAGAAATACACTTATACGTTACCTGACGTTACTGGACCCGAAGACCCAAGTGCATAAAAATAATTATTAAT